TAAAGGAGATTTCATGCCAGTGGTCGGGCATGCTTCCAGCTTGGATAACTGGGTATGTTTACACTGTGTGTTGGATAGGTTTCCTGAGCGATCGGAGGTCTGAGCCAGTCAGTGCCCTGGGCATGAAGCAGCCCTGCGTGGCCTCCAGACATGCCCACAAGCTGTCTGGCTGCCCTGGCTTCGCAGCCATGCTTCTAGGAGGGTAACTGAGCTGCTTCCAGGCTCAGGCTGGTTCATCCCTGAGCAGCAAGCTGCAGCTACTGCACCACACCACATCTCGTACTTCCCACTGACTGGCTGTGTAGGAAGACTGGCTGTAGGTACTGACCGTGAGCCATGTCCTGTAGTGGGTTCACATCCTCCATTTCCTAGGCTAATCTGTCATAAAATACTGCTGTTTGCTGTCACGTTGTTTTGCTCACAAGGTCTGCACAAAGGTCTGTCGTTTTGCTGTCCTCACCACCACAGTAGAGTTCGTCATCAGTCTTTTAAATCTGTGTTTTATAGGACAGGTACAAGAGTTGATAGCTGCCTAATTTGGTGATGTCAGGATCACTGGTTAGTGTTTGTAGAATGCTGTAGGAAGGCTAGGTGGTACTCTTGAGCTGGATTTTGCCAATGCTTACCCAACTGGGAAAGTGTGAAAATCAGTGGAGTTACTCGTCTCTGTGCTGCAGGATGGCACAAGGTGCTCTGTTGGTCTCAAAGCTCAGGCTAGAGTCAGCCAGGAAGACACTTCAGCACATGGTTCATTTGAGGCATGGCCTTACTCCTTGCTTTGCTGAATGGGGACAAACTGAAGGGCATGGTCTGCTGACCCAGAGCTGTGGGGACAGCTCTTGAACTCATATTCTCTGGGTAACTGCATTGGATGAGAGGGTTTTTTGCCTCAGGCTGGGCATCTTGTGCCATCGCTGCAACAAAGGAACTCACTCAAGGAAGCAGGGGATGGTCTGAGTGCCCACGTGTGTGCAGCAGCGCCTGCTCTGCCCTGTGCTGCCTTCTGTAGAAGACAAAAATATCTCCCACCCTGGTAGGACAGAATATGCTCTCATGGGGAATACTGTCAATGGCAATACTTCCCCTCTGGGGTCCGTTGTGCTGCTGAAAAGGGTAGCGCTCCCAGTTTGCTCAGTCATTTCTTTAAAAAGTAAGTTTTGTTCATCAGAATTCAAAAAGCAGTTTGGTAAACGTTACTGACTGATGAGGGTTTGGAGATTGCTGCTGAGTGCTCACAGCTGGGGCACGTGGGATGGGTAGCACCTGTTGGTCGTGAAGTTCTGCAAGGTACAGCTCTCCTGTCAATGTTAATAATCCTTATTAGCTGTTTATTGGATATCTTTTATTAATGATGTGACCGTTAGTTGCCCTAAGGAGAAAAAGGGGCTGGCAGGTGTGGGTGAGATTTTGGCAGACCGTTTCAGAAGGACTCTGGAGTCAGAGCAGCAAAGCAGCTCGAGCAGAGCTGTGGCACCAGGTGGTTCCCTGGGCTGCTGAAGCCCTGCCAGCACAGCTCGGTGGATTCAGGGCCCAGCTCTGTATTCCTGCCTGGTTCTCTCCTTCAGTTTGTGGAGGGCATTGGACGGCTCGGCTGTTCTGAGCTGTCTGTACTCTCCTTCCTTAGTCTGTGTAAACACTGCCTTTGGTTTGTAGCAGCCTGATTTTGGTTTTTTTTTTAAGGGTATATGGCCATTCAGGATAAAAATAGGAACTGCTCTAAATCTTTAGATGCCAGCTTAGCCTTACAGTCTGGTCCTTGATTCCTGTTGAAAATGGGATTTAAGCTTCTGTCTCTTTAAAGTGTCCTTAAAAGGTTTACTCCTGGACAAGTTCATGCTCAAACTTGGAAAGTTTGCCATCCGTCCCTCATTTGACCATACTAGGTATTTCACCAAGAGGGAATTAATATAGGGAACAACGGGAGATGATCTGGGGGAGAAACAGCAAAAAAACATTTGAGGACAAACTTAAGCTGAATTCTGAGTCCCTAGGAAAATACTGTTTGATGCAGAGAAAGGTAATGCTATAAATGAAATGATATTATAGCTGCTGTGCTGTATGTTTTGCTTTAAAGTCTCTTGGCCTGGGAGCTTCCTTTCCAGATACTGAAGCTGTGTACGTCGTGCATGTGGCTGTAGGCTCATATGGTCCCCATTGCAGTTACTCCCAGCCAGAACTGTACTGCTCTGGTATGATATGTGCAGTCTCATACAGACATGTCAGTCTAACGGCCTGTGAAAAGCATTACAGATTATTGATAATAGGATTAAGATATCTGAGCGTTTAATTCCGTGTTCATGTGTTTCCAAGTTGTTCCTAAATGGAAGAAAATTTCAGTGTAAGAAAGAGAATACTTAAAAGACTGAACTTCTCAACCCAGCATCAAGAGGGATAAACTGTATTTAAACAATATGTTTAAATAAAGCCTGAATTGATACTGATTCATTCCAGATGAGACTCTGGGATCTGTAAGATGTGTGGGCTTGCTGTACTGTACTCTAAACTTTTTTATCAGAAAGAGTCAACCTCTGTGCTAAGACAGGTATCTGCAGGACTTTGCCTTGTGAATCATGAGCACAGCAAACAGTGGTAGCCCTGGTTTCTGCTCAGCTTTGCTGTATGCTGGGAGGGTCCCTCTTGCTGCTGACAGTGCAGTCAGTGAGGAGCCCCACAGGCTGCTTCCTGGGTCTGAGAGGATGTTCTGCAAGTTGTGGAAACTTCCTTTGCTTCAGTTTCTCTGGGATATGAGAACAGCAGTTTCTCAGTGAATATTAGGGTGAGAAACATTCTCACCACACAGATGGAAAGTGTTACATTCCAACTCGTTGCACTCTCCAATATCCTTTTTGTCCCTTATCTCAGCATACAGCTTTGTAGACTTTTATTAGTGTATTTTCTTTTTCATTTATGCTCACTATATTACTATAATATTATTGTGCAATGGTGTCCTTTTGTCCATTTATTTTTATTTCTGTCTTCCTTAAAAGACTTGGCAGGAAGACAAGCATGTTCCTTTTCTCCTTGACTTGTCAGTATGCTTCCAGATAGCCATAATAAGCTCTTGGGTGTGTGGTAAAGACCTTTATTTGGGGTGGTGTGTGAGCATGGTGTAATTTTTAGTGTGCTTCTGTGGACTTTTTTTGAGTAGAGGTTATTTTCCAAGATCAAAACAATACTTCTGCAAAGGAAACCAAGCACAGCTTGTTTTCTTTGATGGGTGGGAGTAAGGACTGGTTAGAGGTGATGGCCTGACTCATTCCATGGTAGAGTTACATCTTAGTGGCAGCATGGTGGAAGGGATGCAGAGGGTTCCCTGTGTTCCATTCTCCGTTCATTTGGATGATCAGTGTGAACACTTGTGAGACAGCAGCTCGGGGAGACAGAGCCCTTGTGCTGTGCTGGTGTTGAGGGTGGCAGAACTGATTCCATCAGCTACAGAAACAGAAAACTTTTCACTCTGGAGAGATCCCCAGACAAGCTAACTTTGGTGACCTTTCCTGATAGCTGGAACAAGAGATCCACACCATATGTATTTGTCTGTATTTGTTTATAAAAGCAGACTCATTTTGAAACGGTGATCTCATCTTTTTGCTTTCCTGGGATACATTAATTTTCTTCTGTGTATGTGGCTGCTGCAAGAAGGACCTTGGCTTACTGTGACAAGAGTAAGAGCCATTACTTCAGAAATGTGAGACCTCTTTGGGTGCCATAAACTGAAGCAGTAATGTGAATGCTAAGATCCGTATTCTGTTTCACAACAAACTGAAGGGCCATAAAAAGAAAGAACAGAGTTTGTGTGGGACAAATGGTTGAGAGAGAACTCATAAACTTAAGAAAAGGCTGCTTTCACAGACAGGAATCAGCTCAATATCTTCCCTTCTGGTGTAACGTTAGAGAAAATCTTGCTAGCTTGTGAGCTAGGTGCTTATTGGGAGATAACAGTTTGACTGACCATCTCATAGAGGACAAGTTCAAGTTCAAGCCAACATAATTGCCATGTACAGACCTTATGCTTTCCTTTGCAAGCTAAGCAGTCGTCACGCCTCCAGACGTTGCAAATAGCGCATGGGCCTGTATTGGACATATAATATTATTCTGATCCTTTGATCTTGCACCACAAGCCTCCAAGTCTCAACAAGCCCATCTGAAGCAAGGGAAATGTTTGTAATCTCTCCTTGACAGATTTGGAAACTGAGGCATGAAGGTTTGCCTGCCCTGCAGCTGCACACTGGTCAGTGGAAAGCTGAGGCTGTGTTTCAGTCCTGCACAGGACCAACATTGCAGCATGAATCATTTGGTTCCTGGTGACCAATGCTTTTCATTCAGCCCCGAATCTTCCCTGTGCTCACTGTGTCTGTGCCCAGCTCAGCAGTTTCTACAGTTCCTGGGATGGCAGTGTTGGTGCAATGGAAGCCTGCCATGTGCTTGCAGGCATCTCCTGCTGCATCCAAGCCCCAGTGAAAAGCCGCCAGCCTCCATTGCCTTTGAATCAAGTCCTCGCTATGCAGTAGGCTGGTTGGTTTGTGTTCAGAATAGAAAATACCAGAGGCAAGTTACTGAAGAATTTTTGCAGTGGCACAACTTGGGGGCTTAGCCAAAATGAGTAGCACTTTCCCCTATTGAGATCTAAAACAAAACAGCAAGTGGAGCACCCTGTAGAAGGAAAAAAAGAAAAAGCAACAACATAGTGAGCAAGCAGGATTCGGAATTTACTGATGTCCCCCTTAGCACTCTTGCCCTTTCCCTCTCTTCCATTTTAGAGAAAAGTGTTGTGAAGCAGCTGTGTTCAATCTTGTATTTGGCCAGCAGCTGTGCTCACAGCAGCAGGTGTCTGGGGTCGGCTGCTTACGATGTGCCCTTCGTCATCTTCCATGATTGGAGGGAGCCACTGCCTGTCTCCCAGTCCTCATAACAAGGCAGCAGTGCTGATAGGTAGGTTGTCAGGAGTCACTGGGGCTTCTCAGAGCCTTTTCTGTTAAATGAAGATATTCGTCAGGTGGTCTTGGTAAAGCTGGCTCCAAAGGTTCTGCTGAATCTGTGTTGCATAACGTTGACCAGGTCAGTTTTAATGTAGTGAAAATGGAAGCTTTGATCTGCAGATTAACGTGCATTTGCTTCACAGTTTGGAAATATCACTTCAGAAGATGCTACAGAATAACTTCAGCGTTATCAGGTATGAATCTGTAGATTACAGTGATGTAGCTGTGGGAACTGTAGGTGTTGAAGACAGAGAACAAAAGGCTCAGAAGTTAGATTCTGCTTATCACAGGAGGGAAGAGAAAAGTGTGCAATTGGAAAAGTCCAGATCTGTGGGAAATCTGCACCGTGTAGTACAGGAAAGTTCATCAGAAATATTTTGTAAGATATTCCCTCTCTTCCTCACATGTGCTCTCAGATCAGCCATCTGCATTCTCAGTGGTAGAAACATGGTTTTAGATTGGGAAATAGCTTGAATTTTTAGAAAGAGCCTCGTGGTTTGATTCTGTGCTTTTATTAAGATAAATTTAAGAAACCACTTGAAGTTCTGTGTAAGGTAGGATAAAACATCCTGTCTCATTGCATGATGCTTGCTGGTATTCAGACTGCAGCTCTAGGGGCTGACTGCAGTTAGCAGTGGATACAGCAGTGTATCGGGTGGGTTTCTGTGCTACTGAAGCTTGGAGAAGAGGGCTGCAGGAAACCTGAGGGGATCAGAAGTAATGGGAGTTAAGAGCAAACCCCGGTACTGGCTTTCAGACAATTTTGTGATCCTTCTTTGCTTAAGATCTGGTGTCTTTGAGAGAGAAAATGATCTTCAAGCTGAAGGAGCTGGTTTTGTTCCCATTGCCTGAGATGTGGAGTGTCTTTGGCAAGTTGGCACTTACTTCGTTTGCACCATAGTAGGGCAGCTGAGTATTAAATACTGTGTTCCCAGCTGCACCACTGATGAGCTTGTGTAAGAGTTGCTGCGCCTCCTTCTGCCTTTGTGCTTTCTGCCCTGCTTTGCATGGTGGTTTTGGTTGTAGATTCTTCATGACAAGGATTATCTCTTGCTGGGGTGATTATCTGCAGCACGGAATTAACTGCAGCGGAGTTTGCTCTTTTCAAGTGAGCTACAGACTTGAGGTGACAGAGGGGTGGTTCATATATGATGATGTTATGTTGTTTGCTTATGTGTAGGGTAACAGACCTTGTTAAAAGCACCCTGACTCCACACTTTCTGTGTGAATGGAACTTGGGGTGAGGACAGCCCTCTGATTATCAGCCGAGTCAACTCACTGGTGGAAACAAGTCCTAAGTAAATGTGCAGCCCCTAACATGTTTCATTTCCAGTCTACTCTGAGGCCACCAGACGTTTTTGAAGTGAAAGTAGCTTTAATTTGAAGCTATCCCCAGTGTTTGTTTCCCCTAAAGCCTGATGTTCTCATCTGAGCAAACTGTTCAGCTCTCATGGTCTTCCATAGGAGGGTGTAAGACTCTTCCCATCTTCTCCAAATTGAGCAGAAACAGTATTTTTACATTCTAATGTGGGTTTTGGGGTAGCAGGGGCAGGGTAAATCCCACTAATTGTGCCATTCAGTAGATACAGTTTTGTTTATTTTTTAAGCTGGCACAGAAATGGAGGATAAGCTTAGCTGACCACAAGCCATTAAGTATTATGACTTGAATTGAATACTGAACACTATTGTTAAAGCATAAAGGGGAACTCTGGAATAAATTAACAGGTCATATAATATCTCACATTTCCCAGAAATGTAACAGCAGCTACTCATCTCTTTTCAACTACTTTCCCAACTGAGGATGAGATATTTTTGCACAAATTCAGGGCGTGCAGAAATCAGATATTTACGTTTGAACTGGTCAGAGCTGGAGCCATACTCCTCTTGCAGTTGATGAGGAGAAATGAAAACCTTCAGAGGGTGATTTCAGCTTGTCCTAAAATAGCCAGCTGGGATTAATTGCTCTCAGAAGGTGCCCGTTTCTCTCCACTGGAGGAGTTGGTGTCACTACCCTCCCCTCCCAAGTAAGGACCTTTCTCGTTTCACTGCCTTGGGTGCTGGAGTTTGTACAGCTCCATAGCGTGTCTGAAGCAGCATGGTGCTAATCACCATCCCCTTGCACTACTGGGGGGGACAGCATATTTAGCACTTGCAGACTTCAGTTTGCCATTGGCAGATGGCTGGGCTCATGCTGCACTCAGCTGATGTGATTTATCCCGTAGCTATAATGTTAGTTTGCCCTGTTTGAGGAATTCTGCACTTTGAAAAATTCATGCTGTGGGCTGAGAGGAGTGGACACAGGTACGATGTCTGTGAGAGGGCACGCTGTGCATCTTTTCTCTCTAGTAGGCTTCTACAGATGCGAGAACAAAGTATCCCTGGCCTTGTCTGCAAGGTGTGGCTGTGGGACCTGGCTCCATGTTGATTAATGATGGGCAAAAGGCTGATGGCTATAAGATACACTGTTCAAAACACGCTGTGTCACTGTACCGTGTGTTAGGAGAGCCGCCTTTTGTAGCTCGACTCAATGCAGTAGCCATGCCTTCTTGTTTCTGTGTTTCTTTGAGCTGGATTAGGAAGGGTTTATATTTGCATTCTGGAGCACTTGCCTCTCAATTGTTCATATTTGGAACAATATTTCTAGGAGGTGCGAAGTGCCACTGAGGCTGGAATCTCTCCTTGTCAGGACGCTGTCTGCTACAAATTCACATTCATATGCGTGCCCTCAGAAACTTGCTTTGGAAGTCTGCAGCTCTTCAGAGTAGAAACTTCCAGGATTAGACCCTAAAAATATAAGTTACACTCAATAATACATACTACTGCTTAAAATAGCACAGTTATAACTGTGGCTGGCATTCAAAGTTTGACATTTTTATTTCTGTTGCCAGGATATTTTTCCCACTAAAAGTGAATTAAAAACATAGAAATCAGTGTCTATTTAGACTATTCATTATTATTGCTTCATTAAGTATAAACAATTTGTCAACACATAACAGACGCTTGGAGAGGATATTTCCTTGCAGTAACACAAATCTGAAATTCTCCTGGCTGTTTCCTAACCTGGCACACTCAACCTTGGATCCAACTGCATAACTCAGAAGTTTTGAAACTAGCCTTCTGAGCTGGGCTTTGAGTAAAGTTTCTCAACAGCATATAATTATTCCCATTATACCTGTCGTCAATGATTCATTGGCCGCTGAGGCACACATATGAGCTATTTTTCTCTTTATGACTTTTGGGGGGGGGATGATTCACTGGTTATAAGTGTACATTATCATATGACTAAAGAAGAAAAAAAGACAAACGGAGTGAAGTGCCACTGAGATTTTCCATATGAAAACAAAAAAAAAAGGTTTGGTCAATAAAATAATGATACTCCTCCTATGTTAGGCCAGCAAACATCTGTAAAACTTCAAAATAGTCAGAATCCATACAGCTTTTCCTTTTACACTTCTAAAATGCCAATGATTTTTGATATGATGGAATCATTGGAGTCCAATAATACAGTTGAGAAGAGGTAGGAGCATATTAGCTTTTCTTCTGCATGGCTTTGCCTGTTTATTCAGCTGTTGGTCTGTCCTTGTGGCTCAGTAGCTGAGGACCACACATGCTGGAAGAGGGCTCTTTCCTCGTTCTGCACAGGATGAGCAGACTGGTCATGCTGGCAGGGATGCTCCTGGCACATCTCTGCTGCTGGGACTGGCTCCAGGAGAGGGAACAGATCCAGGTCATTGGCTCCAGTCAAGTAACGTCACTTCTGGGAAACAGTGGGCAGCTTCTGGACGTAAAGTCACCTGGGTCAGTGGCTGCTGAGCAGCCAAACAGTCCCAAGACAACCTTGACTTCAGTTGCTTTGAATGAATGATGTAACCCGTAGGTTGAGAGGAAGGTGGATGGCAAGGAAAGTGAAAAACAGAAACAAAAGAAGCCTTTTCCAGTGCAAAATCTGGTCTGCAGCGTGAGATGGTCTATTGAGCAACAGGGAAAATGGATTTATGTGTCACCATTAGCTTCTGTGAACAAGCCAAATTGCTCTGGCATCAGACACATGATATTTATTCACGAAAATGTGGAATTAATTGCTATCATCCTCATTTTTTAATGGGAACATATTTTAATTTTTGGTTACAATAGTCCTGAGCCTCAGTCAGTGTTAGGGAGAGCCTGAGCTGTGAGGGCCTGGTGGGGAATGACGGCGGGGCAGGGAGTGCAGTGCAGTGATGGCTGCATCCTGTGGCATCATCTGGATGGAGGGAGCTCAATTATGTCCTTATGGCAGTTGCATTTATACTCTAAAACACAGATCTAAAGTTAGCTCGCTTCTAGGAAAATCACCTCCTGGACCTTTTGCTTGTGTCACCATCTGAATCATTATATGATTTTGCTCTGGCTTTTTTCTTAAAAGCAAAGGAGGCAAATTCTTACCTCTCTACTCTCTATCTGCAACTGTCTTCATGGCTGACCTGAAAATGAACTGTAGATTTAATTTGCCTCAGAACCACGTTGTTTACCCAGGCTTTCACCAGTGCCTTCCGAAGTCTTCTTCGCTCCCTCCCCATAGCAATCCCATAGAGGTATGCTGGGCTTGGTGCACTGTGTCCACCTGCGCTGGTGTGTGGTGTTACAGCCAGCAGCACCCACATCTTCTCTGCTTCCATATTTTTAGTGTGTGTTTCAGGATGTCACCTACCTGTGCTTTCAACTCTGCGCGTCTTTCTGGGTTATTGGCTCCTTCCATTTCCCTGATTAATGAAGGATAGACTGCGTCCTCGCAGTTCTTTCATACACATGCAGAAGAAAGAGATTTTTATCTACAGAGGGAGAAATTGCAGATATATGAATTATGTGAGGGGTGAGCAGGTCATTCTGATGCAATTCCATGGAAACAAGCAATTACATTTATAGGCACAGCTGAGTAAGGTAATTTGGAGCACAGCTGGCCAGTAGCAGGGATTTTCTACTCTCTAATCATTGCCATGGACCCATTGCTGGAAGCAAGCCCAAGTTTAAAGGGTCACTTGCAGGCCAATAAAAGAATATATGTTGGCTGGGAACACCAGACTCAACAATTTCAAAAACATGTTTTTCTTCATCTTGTTGAAACACAAGATTACACTGAGTCATCACTTACATGGCTGGACTCTCACGATCTCAGTACTACAAACCTTTTCCCTCTCCCATCTCTTCTTGTGAA